TGTGTGATCAGGGCCTTTTTAAAAGTACCGGTAAATTCGTTCTGGCTATTTATTTTCCGGAAAGAGAAGTTGTAACATTACCGGTAATTTGCCGGAATGCTGCGCTGTGTAAACGCAGAAGGAAAATTGCCGGAAAGAGCGCGTGCACGTCTAGAACGTGCTGACGTTAGACGTCTGCTTTAACCAATCAGAACAGTCAGACGAATTCACGTCCCGTGCGGTTTATGAGAATAAAAGCCTTAGAATATTTAGCTGAATTAGTCAGATAACATTTATATGTTCTTCTTAATGCCAACCGTGTAAATAATTATCACTAAGATGCTTATGATAAGCCGTTGTTTGTTTACCTTCAAGCTTTGCGTGTGCCTGTGAAACAGCCCGTGAGCACCTGCACACACACATATCATGCAAGTCCAATATGCCTCTGTTCACACGCCGTCTCCACAAATCCAGTCTGGCTTTAAATGCAGCTACTTTATCTGCCAACTTAAAGATAATTAATTCTTGTGCAGCCCGGTACTAATTGATCCATGGACCGGTACCGGTCCGCGGCCCGGGAGTTGGGGACCACGATCAAATGTATCATAAAATCACACTGCTAGTGACTCGCTGTTATTCTTATTATAATGCGCAATTCTCTGAATACTTCAGGTGTGCCAATTTAAGGCCTCATTAGCAAACCTTTCGGCGCTCGGGAGTGTTAAATCTCAATGCTCAAACAGTGTAGAATCTATCCAATGGAGTCTCAACGGGGATTTATAATCCCAATTTTTTCGGTTTGTATAATACATGCTTCAGTAACCCAAATGTATGTTTAATTTATTTACATGCAATTTATTAATCAAATCTTGTAAATTTTGTCAGTGATTTGGGGATTATTGAGTACATTCTGACCCAAATGTTGTCTAAAGAATTAAGTAAAGTTGACTGTACATAACTTAACATTTTGCATTTTGGTCCTATCACCTAAAAATATGAGTTAATTTAACTGATGTACCATGAAAATGCATAAACTTAAGATTTCAAGTGTAGTGAGCTCAAAATCATAAGTAATCCCTTGAAAAAAAGTGCAACCTTTTAAGTGCAAGGTCTTTTTTAAATCAGAAAACAAATGGCTTCAGGTATAATTATTCATTATAATGTGAATAAATAGCTACTTATTTTTTGTTTAGAATATATTTAAACAAAAGAACTTGGCATTAAGTTTGGCGAACTGAACAATTTAAGCATAATCTACAAAAAAAATCCGTAAAATTTACGGTAAAAAACTGGCAGCTGTGGTTTTCAGAAATTTACCGTAAAAAATATGATGGAATGTTTTTCAGTTTACGATAGTGATAACCGCAAAAACAAATTACAGTAAAAAAACTGTAAGCAAGGATATGTTAAGCTAGGATAAAAAATGTTTTTCAATTTACGGTATACGTAAGAGAACTAAAATTTACGGTAAAAAACTTGCAGCTGTGGTTGCCAGAAATCTACTGTAAAAAATATAGTATAAATGTTTTTTATTTAAGGGTATACATAAGAGAACTGTAAAATTTACGGTAAAAAGCTGGCAGCCCTGGTTGCCAGAAATCCACCTTAAAAAATACAGTAAAAATGTTTTTTACTTTACGGTATACGTAAGAGAACTGTAAAATTTACGGTAAAAAACTGGCAGCTGTGGTTGCCAGATATCCACCATAAAAAATACGGTAGAATTTTTTTCCAGTTTACAGTATTCCTAAAAGAATTGTAAGTTCTAAGTTTGTTGAACTGAACAATTTAAGCCAAATCTACTTACATACTAAGTTTGGTGAACTGAACAATTTAAGTATAGTCTACAAAACCGGCAAGTTAAATAAACTTAAATATGCAAGTTTTGGGAGACTCCATTACTCAGTTAAATTGAGGCAACGAGTTTACACAATTAATTTAGTTCAGTCAACTCATTAGGGTTTTCAGTGTACAGCAACCTCTGATTTGCTGTTTGATTCTCAAAGATGACCTTTTTTTCTATATAAGCGATAATAAATTCGATTCTTGCACCAATACATTAATGACCATGAACGTTTACACTTATTATTTCATCTAACTCCCATGTGTGGCTATACAAACACCTTTAGAAGAAAAGTGTCTTGTGAACACTCTTTTTCCGTGTCTGAATGCATATTTGCTCGCTCAGATAGACAGCTTGGCGTGATTATGCATTGACAATACTATGAACTGTCAAATGTATATTTCTATAGGCTAATCCATTATTTGGATTATTAATATTATTTTTAAAAATATTAAAGAAAACTATTTCTCACTATTTCCCATACATCTCGTCTGATCAAGCGTTAATTAGGTGGATCAAATCAAACCCCCTGTTATTCTCTCCTTGCTGCAATCACCTCAAAACCGGACCCAGATGACCCCACATGAGTCCAGCGCTTTTGCGTGGCTGGGCTTTTGGTTTCTTTACGGTAAGGTGGACCTGCACTGTCAGCACAGGCAGGAGTCAGGTGATCCACCGACTATTACGCGTAGGTTGGACCGTAAGAAAATACAAAAATGACATTTTGTAAATACAAGAGCATCATTTCGGCGCTCCGCGAGGCTGGAAAATGCACCGCGCGACACGGGCTCATCTTATGATGCGCTAAAATCCCCGGGGAATCGAGCGTTTGTTGTGTATTTATGATCAAATATCATCCGTGAGCGCCTGGCCGCATCATGGGGCTGTGCTACAGTCTGCGTCCCCGCTTGTTCGGGAACCTCAGCGGATCCATTTCCAACGCCAACTCGGAGTCAGATCACCAGCCTCCGGATCCCGGGATGATGATGATGCCGTCGTGCGTCCGGGGCTCCAGGCAGCGCGATGAGGACTCTGGGGGAAACGACGGGAAAACATCACCCACCTCCCCTTTGCGCAGCGGGGACGCCGGTAAAGTCCCGGCCGGGGAGCTCCGCCGTGGAGACGCGGACCGGGCGCTCATCCAGAACGGCGGAGGAGGAGGCGGGAAGAGGAGGCTCCAGCTGCTCCAGACACCTAGCAGCGCTCAAAAACACAAGAACTGGGACAAACTGGTGGTGGTCGAGGAGAAGGAGGCCGAGAAAGAGGCCAAGAAAGTCAGCAAGAACATCGACAGGGCCTTGAAGGAGCTCAAGCGGGAATACAAACAGACACACCGGCTGCTGCTCCTGGGTGAGTGATGCCGTCGGAAACACTGTGGGTTTGCTGTCTTTATCGTCTTTATCATCCTCTTCTTCAGTTGTTATTGAAAATGTGTGGGTATTCTGACGCCATGCTAGAATGTACAGTATGCTAGCAGTGTGTACCTGAAACCTGAACATGATGTGGTTTTGTTATTGGACGTTTAGATTTAAGTATAATGTTGTTAGATGAGCGATTGTTGTTATTGTAATGTCTTCTAATGATGGATGATAATATAATAACAATATTGTTCTGACACTTGACATTATGTCATGTTTACAACAGATTTGCAGATAAAGTATACAGTAAATGGATGAAAACAGTATGTGTAATGTTAATGATTGAGGTCATGTTGTTCTCCTTAATTCAATTTCAGATACTTCATTCATTAACTTTGGCCTAGTCCCTTTATTATTCAGGGGTCGCCACAGCGGAATGAACCGCCAATTTCAGAAACTTATTCATTGCAAACTCTAAATAGTGAAATCATGTTAGCAGCCAATGACTATCAAAGTACAACAATGTTCACAGTCAGTTAAATAGTGCTAATGTTGTTTTAAAGTCATACTTACATGTTATTTCAGTCTGAATATTCAAAGTACCATGGTAAACAATACAAGGAGCTGTCACTGAACCAATGTGTGAATATAAAACCAACTTTACCTCAATATGTTAATGTGTTTACTAACATACAATACAGTATTTATTTCAGTAGCCAAATATTTCTTAACGTTAGGTTATTTAATGTTTGTGTTCACTCACAGTGCATTAACTAATGCTAAGCATACATTTGGATTGTAATATTGCATTAAACATTGAACTATGATTAATAAATGCTGTAAAATACTTTAATTAATGAAACCTTGTAAAGTGTGACCAAAAAGTCAGATATAAAGCAAATAAATCTAATAGTAAAAGATAAATAATATATATAATATTTGGAAAGCTGGAGTTGCAGTTTGTTTTAATGCATTTCATTACAAGTATAAATGGTAATAAACATGATGAGTAACTGCAGTTAATATAACTTAATAAAAGGAAATGCCTTGCGTATTACAATATTAATACATTAGTTAATATTCTTTTTTTCATTTCTTTTCAGGCTTCACAAAAAAAAACAGTTTACTGTACATTATTTCATCTGCCTGTTTAGAGTAGTTTATAGCTTAACTATAGCTTTGTTAGATGAGCGATTGCTGTTATTGTAATGTCTTCTTATGATGGATGATAATCTAATACCAATATTGTTTTGACACTTAGTATTATGTCATGTTTACAAACAGATTTCCAGATTAAGTATACAGTAAATGTATAAAAAACACTGATAATGATTGAGGTAAGGTTGGTTTTATATTCACACAATAACACTTTCTCTTTAATAATAAAACTTTAGAAACTTTATTGATTAATTTTGGCTTAGTCCCTTTATTAATCAGGGTTCGACACAGCGGAATGAACCACCAATTTCAGAAACTTATTCATTGCAAACTCTATAAAGTGAAATCATGTTAGCAGCCAATGACTATCAAAATATAACAGTGCAATTCAGAGTCAATTAAATGGTGCTAATGTTGTTTTGAAGTCATTCATTCATTCATTTTCTTGTTGGCTTAGTCCCTTTAGTAATCATGGGTCGCCACAGCGGAATGAACCACCAATTTCAGAAACTTATTCATTGCAAACTCTGAAAAGTGAAATCATGTTATGAGCCAATGACTATCAAAATAAAACAGTGTACTTCAGAGTCAGTTAAATAGTGCTAATGTTGTTTTGAAGTCATTCATTCATTTATTTTCTTGTTGGCTTAGTCTCTTTAGTAATCATGGGTCGCCACAGCGGAATGAACCACCAATTTCAGAAACTTATTCATTGCAAACTCTATAAAGTGAAATCATGTTAGTTAGCAGCCAATGACTATCAAAATAAAACAGTGCAATTCAGAGTCAATTAAATGGTGCTAATGTTGTTTTGAAGTCATTCATTCATTCATTTTCTTGTTGGCTTAGTCCCTTTAGTAATCATGGGTCGCCACAGCGGAATGAACCACCAATTTCAGAAACTTATTCATTGCAAACTCTGAAAAGTGAAATCATGTTATGAGCCAATGACTATCAAAATAAAACAGTGTACTTCAGAGTCAGTTAAATAGTGCTAATGTTGTTTTGAAGTCATACATGTAATTTCAGACCGAATATTCAAAGTACCATAGTAAACAATGCAGGGAGCTGTCACTGAAGCAATGTTTGAATTTAAAACCAACTTTACCTCAATATGTTAATGTGTTTACTAACATACATTACAGTATTTATTACAGTAGCCAAATCTTTCTTAACGTTAGTTATTAGTTTTTCACTATTCATGTTCACTCACAGTATTCAATTCAATTTTCAATTCAGCTTTATTTGTATAGCGCTTTTACAATGTAGATTGTGTCAAAGCAGCTTCACATAAATGGTCATAGTAACTGGAACAGTGTGGTTCAGGTTTTAGTGTTTAAGTTCAGTTCAGTTCAGTTCAGTTTAGCTCAGTTCAGTGTGATTTAATCATTACTGAGAGTATGATCACAGTACATTAACTAATGCAAATAAGCATACACTTGGATTTCGATAATGCATTAAATATTAAACTCCGATTAATAAATGCTGTAAAATAATTTAACTAATGAAACCTTGTAAAGTGTGACCAAAAAGTCAGAAATAAAGCAAATAAATCTATTAGTAATAGATAAATAATAATATTTGGAAAGCTGGAGTTGCAGTTTGTTTTAATGCATTTCATTACTAGTATAAATGGTAATCCATATGATAATGCATAACTGCAGTTATAATTTAATAAAAGAAAATGCATTGCGTATTGCAATATTAGTATATCATTAAAGATACTTTTCTAATTTCTTCACAAATAACTTGATTTACTGTACATTATTTTGTCTGTTTCGTTTAGAGCAGTGGTTCTCGAATTTTTTTCATGAAGTACCACCTCAGAAAAAAATTGTCTCCCCAAGTACCACCAAAATGAGCAGTATTGAAATAAAGTAGCGTAGTAGGCCCAGTAAAGCAGCTACAACTCTGCACAGTTAAAAAAACGTGGCAGATTACCTCAGAAATATAGGCTAAAAGTCATATATGGAATATTATATACATATTTTTTGCTAAATTTTGAAATATGTAGCATATACATGACATATTTTATTCCTCCGCGTACCACTAGAAGGAAGCCTGCGTACCACTAGTGGTACACGTACCACAGTTTGAGAACCACTGGTTTAGATAATAGCTTACAGTTCATACCTTGAATTTATTTACAGTGTTTTCTTAACAAGCAGGCTATTTTATTAGCTGCCAATTTTAAAATAACGAATAGAGACTTTAAATCCCATTTCCATAGGCATTAAATGTGATGATCAGGCTTTAGACAGGTCATGAGATGATAAAGGTGAGATATCATCAGAGCATAAAACTGAGCTCATATAGTCTGTTAGTCAGAACATGATGCTTTGATAAGATACTAGTAGATACTGGCATACAAGTCATAGTAAAAGAATCTATTACTTTGACCTCAGGGACACTGACAACTCACACAGGTATTCTGATCTTTCAGTTTAATTCAGGCACCCTGCAGAACCACCTGTGATACAAACACACGCATGCAACAGAGCACAGAAACACACTGAAAATACTGAGTTTGAGTGTTTGATCTTACTTTAGCAGTGTTATTAATATTAAATTCAACTAATAATAACCATTATATAATATGATATATATAATTAATGATGGAATAAACATGAAAAAAACATTATTATTATTATTATTAAATGATTGCATGTAGTTGCTTCCTTGTTTTATTTAAAGTTGTACTAAAATGGACCATTCGCTAAGCCCCACCCTCCTTAGTTACTGTTGCTACGCCTGTCAACCTTTCGTGCCTGACACAGCTTTTTCAATGCGTGTGCGCCGATGTCAGACATTGCCGGGGATATAAAGTCATTTTTGGTGAACAGGTGAGATATCCGAGAAAGCCAGACAAAAAAGGACTGCAGTGTGCATTACAGGGGTATATTCATGGCATAATAGGCAACCGATTAAACCAATCAAAATTGAAGCTAGCTTAGCCTAGCCGCCTCATACGCTAATCATTCAACAGCTTAGCTCATGCTCAGCATGAGAGGTGAAATTTAAAAATAATCTAATAATAACAAATTAAACCGTGATTTCTCTAGTTTTAGCCAAAAAGCCTGATAGATTAATTGCTGTGCAAATATAACGTTACTAACCGACGAGGAAACACGCATGACAGTGCTTTTACATAGTTCATTCATAGAAAGAACAGCCAGAAAAGGTAAACTGATGGATTAATGCCGAATAATAGCATCATTGACCCATAACAATGTCAGGGCTCAACAATAAGGACTGCCCGATGGCCCAGGGCCAGTGTGAGAGACGCTTGGGACAGTAGACGGGACCATTACTGGCCCGATTGGGGCCACCTTTTTTTTAATAATTTCGAACTCAAAATAAAATAACTTCACATTTTCCATACTGCTCTTTTTGTTTTGTTAACATAATTTTGCTCATTATACATATATTATACATTTAAAAAATATTATTTAAATAATATTAACATTTGAAAAATTATAAATATTATTTTTGACACATTATTTAATATATGTGGCAAAAAATAGCTATTCAATTTTATTAGTTTTTTTTTTTAAGGGGCCAGTGAAAATTTTGGCAGGGCAAGTAAAAATCTGAACCATTGGCCTGAACGGACCAGTAGAAAAAATGCTTAGCGTTGAACCCTGAATGTACAGTAAGATACCTATAACTGTCAGTATGTTTGTGTTCTCTTTATAAATGACTGAGGCCGTACTCACACTAGGTACAGTTGCCTCGAACCGGGCCAAAGCACGCTTGTCCCCCCTCCCGTCTCCCCCGACGGCCCGCGCTCACACCATATCGGGCCTCGGCACGCTTACGTCATCGCTGCTGCGC